CCCTCATGCCTACTCATTTACCAGCATACTACAGAACCTCATCAATATAGACATAGGAACTCATAATTTTCATGCAATAGAAACCATTTTTTCCCTGTTAATGTTCGAACATTGATAAAGCAAATATCTTGCTTGGACCTCCATAATGTAAACATTCCCGTGCAAATTAATGAAAACAATTTCATAAATCTAGGCACAACTGATAGAGAAGAGGAACCTCATGCCACAGATCTCAGGAACTCTCACATATCATAGCAAAAATTAAAAAAAAATGTATTACTTGCATCTCCACCTTCAAAAAAACCAACACAAATGATAGAAATTAGCTTGTTTGGAACTCCACCTCCGAAATAAAGATGCAAAAAAATCGGAGTAACCCCCAAGCCACAGATCTAAGCTAGGATATACCCAAAAACCATTCATTCATATATCACACCAAAAGTTACAAAACTATATTGCTTGCATCTCCACCTCCCAAAAAAAACAACAAAAAAGAGAAACTTTCTAAGGATCGCAAGGGAAAGCATACCTTATAAATCAGAAAGGAAAATCGAAATGTTAGGGCTCGCGGAAAGAAAGGAGAGGGATATCGGAAATGTTAGGGCTCTGTGATTCTCCTGAAAAAGGCAAGGCGAGGGAGATCTGCGATTCTCCTGAAAAGAGCGAGGGCGAGGGTGAGGGCGAAGGCGAGGGTAAAGGGTACCACAAGAATTCCTTCCCTAAGCGCAAAAATCATACGCGGGACACAGGGGGAGTTTGGCTTATGAAGCCATCAAGGAAATAGCGATATTAAAACGTCGCGACACCAAAATTTACACCCATCGCGATATTCAAACGGGAAGGCGGCGTTTTCATAACGCCACCGCACACTATAAGCTGCCTCAAACTAGCAGTAAGGGTCTGTTTGGAACAGCTGTAACTTATCCATCTTATCCAGATAAGCCTTACTGCCAGTTTGGGGCAACTGTAACTTATCAAGTTTATCCAGATAAGCAACTTATCCTGATAAGATGTTGATCAACAGTTGATCCGTATAAGTTGACTGATTGTTTGGTTTGTGTTTGGAAAAAAATTAATTTGCAGGTGTTTCTGGATAATTGACTATTCTGTCCTCGATATGAATAAGTCGGCTAGCTAGTTGATTTGTGCATTTGAAAAACAGCTGATTTGCAGTTATTTCTGGATAAATGACCATTTTGCCACTGTGCAATTGTGTTATTTGCAACATAATTGTTATAGTTATAAATTTGATAGTTTAAAACCAAAAAAATCGTTTCATAACAGTACAAAAAAAGGATATAAACCTCACTTAAGAGTGAGTATCAAGAAACCTTTAAAAAAAATAAATACTAAAATTACAATTAAAATTATAATAATATTTATTTAAAAATTCAGAAGAAACATGTCACGAGAAACGTTGTCCTTGCAAGTGATACCATCAAACCTGATCACTATCGGTAGTGGAATCAGCCAGACTCATTATTATAGTTTTTATTATTATGATATTAAGCTTAAAGTGATGTATTAAAATTGATGTATTAGAAAAATTAGATTCTTGACGTGTTCTTGGTATTGTTAAAGTTAATTTTGCCATTCTGCTAATAGTTATTTCAAAAACAGCAACTAACTGACTAAATTAAATCTATAAAGGCATAACCATTTTTTATCAGAAATAGCTACTACACAGCAGATTATCCAAACATACTGACTGCTACACCGACATCACCTTTCAGACAGCAGCTGTGAAGTTGTTTTCCCAGAAAGATACTTCATAGTTGCTTCTTCAAAAAACAACCCCCAAACACACCCTCAGTTAAAACATCAATAGATGAAGAGAGGGATAAAAAAAGGAACTATGGTGCAAGAAAAAATAAGAGGAACGCCAAAATGCTAAAACCAATGACAAAGCTAATTATAAGGAAGGCAACAATCAAAAAACAAAGAATAATCTTGAATCAGAGTACAAGAGAGGGCGATATCAGAACTACAAGAGTAAAATTAGTAAGCATAATTAAATGTTTACAAGTTGATAGTAGTTCATGAAAGTAAGCAAAGAAACAAAATTGTGTTGCAAATAGGATTCTCAGAAAAAAAAAATGAAACTAGCATACATAAACAAAAAATAAAATAGCAATGTTATGATAGAGAATAATATTTAGCTTCCAATAGGATTCTCAGCTACAAGTATATAAAAACAAATTCAAATGACCTTATACTACCTCTTTATGAGCAATACTCCTGGTTCTTGAATGTCTTGCAATATCTTTTTACTACTACTAAGAATAAGCAAAATATGTATCAAGAAATTCCTGTAACCCTTCTAATAATCACATCTAGCCGACAAAAGTTCTTCTTAGACAACAATTCAAGGGGAAGGACAAAAGAGAGATAGTAGGAATAGTTTAACGATATAACTAAGGAGAAAGTATTTTTACAAGTTTGATTGCAAAATTTAACTAAGATTTGATCCAGATTCAGATTAAATTGAGACATAAAAAATGGTTGCTATTTGTTAATTGATTCAAATCTTGATGAAAGGCATGGAACCACAAAATTAGTAAGCCACAGTATAAAGTCAAAGATCCAGTCATATATGTGTGTATCTTTTATCATCAGCGTCATAGCCCCTTGTGAGGGTCAGTTTTGTTCACCCACACCATTCATTCCTAAATGGATATGCATGCAAGGAGAGTGTATGTATAGCACAACTGTATCCTATGTTGCGCTGCATATAGAATTGGATATCAGGATTAAATCTTTTCTAGTCAAATCAAGTTTTCCTTTTATAAGCCACTTCAAAAACCAAACAAAACACAATCACAGACTTGAACTCAACAAAGGTTTTGCTCAGGGTCAATTCATGCTTTATGCTTTTTCAAGTACAAAGATAACTTAGAAATTTTGGCCTTACCAAATCTGTTATTAGTGGCATCAAGATGATTTAGTGAGAAGCGCACCAAATACACTTGCATGCATGGTCGGACCAAACCATCTAAGACGACTTTCTCTATTTTTGTCTGTCACAGGAGCTACACCAACCCTATCACGAATATATTCACTCCGCATTTTGTCTCCAAGTGTAAAGCCACTCATCCACCTAATCATTCTCATCTCGGCAACACTTAACTTATTATTATGCTTCTCTTTTAAAAGCCAACATTCGGCGCCATAGAGCATTGCAGGTCTCACCACCGTCTTATAAAATTTTCCTTTCAGTCTTAGCGGTACTTTTCTTATTCAGTTTTAGTTCTGCATATAGAATTGAATATCAGGATTAAATCTTTTCTACTCAAATATAGTTTTCCTTTTATAAGCCACTTCAAAAACCAGACAACACAATCAAAGACTTGAACTCAACAAAGGTTTTGCTCAGGGTCAATTCATGCTTTATGCCTTTTCAAGTACAAGGAGAATTTGGAAATTTTGTCCGTACCAAATCTGCCATTAGTGACATCAAGATGATTTAGTGTGTCTTATCATCAGCATCATAGCTCCTTGTGAGGGTCAGTTTTGTTCACCCACACCATTCATTCCTAAATGGATGTGCATGCAATGAAAGTGTATGTATAGCACAACTGTATCCTATGTTGCGCTGCATATAAAATTGGATATCAGGATTAAATCTTTTCTAGTCAAATCAAGTTTTCCTTTTATAAGCCACTTCAAAAACCAAACAAAACACAATCACAGACTTGAACTCAACAAAGGTTTTGCTCAGGGTCAATTCATGCTTTATGCTTTTTCAAGTACAAAGATAACTTAGAAATTTTGGCCTTACCAAATCTGTTATTAGTGGCATCAAGATGATTTAGTGAGAAGCGCACCAAATACACTTGCATGCTTTTATACCTATTTTAAAGGTTAGAACAATCAGTTAAAGTTAGATATATGGATGATGCTTGTACTTCATGCATCTACATCTAGATGACAAAACATTTCAGCAGTCTTTTAACAGCAACTATAATAAAAAATGACATGTTTTCTCACAATTGGTTCCATATTTCACATCCCTATGCCCTTATATTCACTGTTTTATTTTTCTAAAATCAGGTTTCCTACGAATATTTGGGTTGCATGTTGGATGGAGTTGGACTTCAACGGACTCGAAAAATTCATTAAATAATTTCAAACAGTGATCAAATTAATTAGAGTTCATAATACATACATTGTCTGATCAATCCCTCCCATCTCCAACCAGATCTATTTGTTGTATAAAAAAGACAACAGGGTTCAACAAAAGTACTCATATATCTGTCTGCAAGTTATTGACACCTAAGTCATGAAAATTAAGCATGCAACATCAAACAAACATTACTGTTTTAATTGTTTTTGTCATTCTGGCATAAGTTTGTAATGTTCATCGGATTCCTTATATTAAAATCTAAAATACCATAAATTGGAATTGCTCGATAAACATTTCAATAAAAAATTTGCTCTGCTCCTGGTCCTCCCCCATCATCTCACAGCCAAGGACAAGACACTTGTAGAACAGCTTTTCATCTCCAAAAGAGTAACGGTAACTGTATTTGAACCAAATAGTATGGAAGAACAGCAGTACTATAGCCCGCTACCAATTAAATAACCAAAAAACATATTCAGAGAACATCAGCTTAGAAATAAGCATCACTGATATGGAAATATAGGTTACACTCCAACGCAAGCCCTTGTAACGCAGGTAAGATTTTGTTCTTCAATTCACAAGATCAATGAACAACATCAATAATGCAGGCACAAAAATCTCCAAAAATAAATTAAAAATTAAATTGTCCCAGTAGTTGTTCATGAACCCTAAACTGGGCACTTTCAAATGAGTATGCGATAAAAGTACAGATGACTAATAGCTTATACATTTCCCTTGACTTTCAATGTAATGGGGAGGGTTCAAATAAAATAAAATAAACTAAGAGCACAAATATTAGCTAATATTCCACACATTTGCACGATTTTGTCCATGAAAGCAACACGCATAGTGTAGTGTAGGGGAATTAAATTAGACTAACCTTTCGCTTAGCCTTTTTTTCAGAATAAGTTGGGTTGGATATGTTCTTTGTCTCCTGCACAGATGCTTCAACAGAAGTTGCACTTTTATTTGCAGGAATGGAACTCTCTGGTGCAGCTTTAGCTTTTGGCGGATCGATATTTGCTGCTTGAGAATGCATGATACCAGAAAGTTTTTCGCGAAGATCTCGTACTCCAGCTGCTTTCCCACTTTGGAGGGTTTGCTGAGGAACTTTCCTTTGAAGCTTTAAGCGGAGATCCTTAGGGCCAACTGTAGATTCTTAATTCAATAACAAGCACCAGAATCATTATTTTAGTTGTTAGACATTCGGTTATGCTAAGGTAAACTAACTAAATCCAAAGATGATTATTTATATTTTTACAGTTATTATACTTGAAGATGGAGATTCTCTATCACCCTCATAAAGATCATGTTTCCATTTGTCATCAACCTGGCGCTGCCTGTAAAAGTCAAAAGATGTCAGTATTGATGACTAATAGTTAGCTATAAATAATGATGCAAGGCATAATATTTAACATAGCATCAACAAAGCAACCAGTGAGAAATCAAACCACAAATGCAAAAGACAGCACAACAAACACTGATAGGTAAAAGCAGATTCAGAAAGCAACACAAAAGTTGCATTATGATAGCACGAGACATTTTCTAGACCAATTATTCTATCCATGGACAAGTTGAACAATAATAAAGCATCCACTACGAACACCATTCCATGTTTCTTGGCCATTCTATGATTTCATTGATTCTCTATGCATGAATGCTTCAAAGGATTGCATGGAATTGCAAAATATGTCTAGCATCACGGTAGGGATGTAATAATACTCAATTAAAATTTTAATTACATTAACATAAAAAAAATTATAATTAATAAATAAACTCTCAGTGTACAATACCTACAAAGTGGGTGTCGTTCGATTGTTTCCACGCCGCTCATGGGAAATCCTACGAGACATTAATTCACTCATCTCCTCATTTGAAAGTAACAAACTAGAAAATCGAGAGAGAGAGAGAGAGAGCACAAAAACAGAGTGAGATAAAGGAGAAAGCATTCCCTAGAAGCACAAGAAGAAGCAAAGGAAGAAAAAGAAGAAAGCGGAGGAGACTAAGTGGCAATACTGAAGAAAGAAAATATGCTTGAAAAAATACCCCATAAATATATATATATATATATATAAAAGAAAAAGCCACACTCTTCAGGCCTCATTACCATCTGCAGCAGTAGGTTCTTCAAACTCAATTTGAGTGAGAGATATACTCGAGGCCTTACAGGTTGCTTTGATTGACCCCGAGTCAGAGCTGAAGCTATAGACTATCTTTTTCTGCCCACCACCTACAATCTTCTATGAAGAAGCTCCACCGGACAACGCTTTTCTAGCCAAGAGATGGACAATATCTCACTATATGACCAGGCTAACAGCACTATAACAAGTGTTAAAATAAAATCCATCAAGCATTACCTTTATGTAGTATATTCTGTATTTGGTACAAGTGACTTCAATACCCTGAGTCGTACCTCTGCTAACTCCACCCGAATTATTCTTGGACTTCTTATAATTGAATCGTTATGAGTGATCTACATGTTCGCCTGCAGTATTCCTCTCGTGCATCTCTTTACGTTTCTAACTTGATAGTCAATCTCCACTCTTCTAGCTCGTTTCTTTAATAATGAATATTCATCGATCCCTAAAGGTACTAACTAGTGTTAGAGCTCATCAAGCATTCACCTTTATGTTGTATTCCACATTTGGTACAAGCAACTCTGGTACCCTGAGTATACCTCTACTAACTCCACTCGAATCATTCTTGAACATCTTCCAATTGAATACTTCTATATAATCTACATGTTTGTCTGCATTCTTCCCTTTGTGCATCTCTTTACGCTTCTGAGTAAGTTGATAGTCGATCTCCACTTTTCTAGCTCGTTCTACTAATACAGAATATTCATCGATCCCTAAAGGTACTAAATGCTTTCTAATAGAATCCTTTAATCTCGAAAAAAATCTGCAACATTTTTTTTTCTGCAATAGCAATTAACTGTGAATTTTGCTTCGTACTGCATAACCATCTTCTCTCCTTGCCTAAACTTGATAAACCTGTCATGTATCTGTCTTCAAGCGGATAAGGGTACAAACCATTCTCACAATAGCTCCACGAATTCTTCCCAACTGACCATCATATTAGGTATGCCCCCTAGCTTGGCTTCTCTATCCAGCACAAACGTCGACAACGATACTCTTCTTTCATCCCGAAAAGCCATGTTATCTAGTATATTCTCTATCTTCATTAACCAGTTCTATGTTTCAATTAGATCTTAAGTTCCCTTAAACAAAGACGGGCTCCGATCTTGAAATTTCTTTAAGTACTTATCTACAATGAAAATTTCACAAAAATAGGCTGCAATCTGGACTCCTGAATATGTTGAGTAATTGTCGCCATCATTTGGGTGAGGACATTCGCGTTAACATTTATAGTAGGTTGTAATCTTCCTTTTCTATTAGATTATCTACTTCTGTGATTTCGAGTATATCACTATGCTTGAATGTATAATAATTATTACTTCAAGTCAACTTCAATTTTTTTTAATAATTATTAAATTCTTCTAATGATTATCATATTGCCTCTATCATTTAGATTTTATTAATTAAAAATAAGTTGTGCTCTGATGCTACTTTTATCACGACTTGGCCCGAGGCTTTGAATTAACCAAGAGGGGAGTAGACAATCGGATGGTTAGAATTACATTTTCTATATTAATTTATTATTTAACAGGTGAAAGAACCACAATATAAAATAAATTAAAATAATATATTTAGCTTTACTATAGGTTGTCCACGCCTTCTATAAACTAGCAGGGCAACCTGACAGGCTAGCAAATTTCATGTCAAGGCTCCAGATTGATAATGAGAAAGAAGGAAATTTCAAAGAATCATATGAATCTTTTATGATGGTGTTACAGGTAAATGATAATGCAGAGGATCTTTGCTTCTCTGATGACAATAGGAGCCCACCATGGCATCATAAATGGAGTGCATGAAGTTGAATGATGATTATGATGCTTCCACTCATTCCTCCAAAATGATGAAAGATAATTCTAAAGAAAATATTTTGTTAGAAAAATCTGAATCAAATGCAGTAATCAAAGTATAATTGAAGATTGATAGATATCGTCGACTCCACCAAAAAAGGGATCATCAAACAAGGACTAGAGAGAAAAAATAAAGCAGTTAATGAAGACTTCGTTCCCAAGGATAAAAAAAAAAAATAGATCTCAAGCATAGTAGTGTATAATATTTTGTCGCATCTACAAAAATACCCACAGCACTCTTAATGTAAAAAGACCTCAGAGAAGCTTTTCTTCTAATTCAAGCGCTCAAGGATCCGGAGAAATACAAGCAATGCTTTATAAAATTAGGTTCTTCTACCATCACATTTTATGAGAATCTCATGATTGAGATATCATCTGTTTGGACATCATAGCAGAGAACAATGATGTACTGATAAATTCAATTTTAATTGACCAAAATTACTTAGTAAATCTTTCAAGCTTGCAAGCATACAGATCATTGTCCAATGATATCTAGCAACTCGGACGCGGTAATTTAATGGTGCATAATTCTAATAAGAAAAAGCAAAAAAGTTATGGAACTTTTATCCCAGCACTAAAATTTCAAAGCCTCTATAGAAGATAAATCATATCTGATCAATGTTGATACTTCAATTCGTACTCTCCTAGGTCAATGTAGATTCACGAGTATAGCATGTTCCCATCCACTAAGCATAAATATATGAAGTATCTAAGAGATGGAAAAAAAATTAAAAAGTTCTGACATTATACAACCCTTTGCACCTATAGAGAAAATTTTATAAAACTGGTATATACTTCATTCGAAATGAACCCACGGATAAGGGGTGTGACTTCAACAACCCATAGTTTAGCAACCTTGAAGAGACTACCAACAGCCTGGCTAAAGTTAACTCCAACAAACTTGTCCTGGCCTGCCAATATGGTCATGTTTTGTAACAATGCTGGTGTCCCAGGAATGCTAAAAAATACGGATAATTGCACGAAACTCCTACTACCATTGCATCAACTCTTCTGGAAGTTGTCGCCCACACCTTATTTCCCACTTTAGAGCATTGATATGCTAGCCAACAGAATAGGTTGCTCAGCACTTCTTTCTGGCATGCCCTTCCAGTTTTGATTAAGGAGAATGTGGATGGAGCTCTCCTACTTACCACGATAGCATTGGATTTCACAAGCCCATCAACATGTTAACACAAATTTTGAATTTCTCTTGCAGTTCAAAAAAATTATGTTCTAACACATAGCTAGAGATGGAAATAGAGAAAAAGAGCACATTGCTGGCCCACATAGCCCTTCAAAAGGAGTTCATTTTGAAAAAACAAAAATGAGCAACATGCTCTTTTTCTTTTAATTCTGATGATATAACGTAATTTGTAATTGCTTAATGACATAATTTTGTACACCTTTTGTAACCTTTTGATTTGATAATGCAAAATACATATTCTGGAAAAAAAAAAAAAAAACCAACTTATCAGACCCTTCCAAATTTCTAAGGTCGACTCCGAAGACTGCAAGGTCACCCAAAGAAGAGAGAGAACAAATGCAAAAAGTAAAGAGACAGCAACGCCAACTCTTCCTAAACAACTAGCACTCCACCTAAGTCAAGAAAAGTCCTTCCTCTTTGGGAAACAATATTTAAGAAGAGGATATTTCTATCAAACCCTAAGAAGCATGCAAGCCTTCAACATAAGGGAAAGAACAAAGCTCATTTTGACTTAGATTATGACATTGAAAATGCTTATGAAAGTTAGATTCAGAATGCCTCAACAGGAAAAATTACAGGCCTATCAATATCAAAAGACAAATTCATGGACATTCCATCCCTCCCCATCATATAAAGAAAATTACTTCGCGGGAATTTCATAATATAGAAAAGTTGAAAATATTCCATGTACCTCTTTTACATGGAAGTGGTGAATCAGGAAATATTTTATACAAATTGGAGAAACACAAGGTCAAAATTCAGATTCGCTCATTCAATGTCTCGAATCTGAAAAAATTATACCTAAAAAAATGTCTATACATTACTCCCCAAAGATTTGAAAGATGATGCAAAAGCTAAGAAATCATGTCGACAACACTATAAAACAACAACAACAACAACAA